TAGAACTTAAAAGGACACCGAAAAGTAACATACATAAATTTTAAAAATGATAAAATAGTAATTTACTACTAATAATAATGATCAGGAAAATATGTGTAGACGGTGTCAAGTTAATAGGAGTGGAAAAGAGATATAGACGGAAGCTGTAATCACTTGAAAGAAAAACGTTCATTAATTTCGTGTGGTGCAAGAAAATTTAGCTTAAATATAAGTTTATGCTCTAGGTTTTGACGATCATACTTGTTATGGAGGGCATGTAATAAAACGAGTGATCCGGGGAGTTGAAGGTTTTGGGAACTGGGTGGTCGAGGGTGCCGTTGCGTACAGTTCACAACAAGTCGAGATGTTCACGGAATGTGTCATTTAATCTGCGTGAATCTCTATATTCTAACCCTTCAACGATTTTATCTAAGCCTTTTTTTCTATGTAACACGGTTTAAACTGCCTGGGGAAGGGCTTTTGCCTGAAACGTTGCAAATAAATATAAAGTTTTTGTCATAAACGTGTGTTTTACCAATTTTGAACACTTTTTTTTCATTATTTTTCCACGTCTTGCAGTCTTTCCTATTGTGTATTAATTCTGAGAGTATGCCAAGGAGTGGACAATTAAATTGTAACTAATTTTATCAATGGCGTACATACTAACATAGCACGTCACAGGGCTTAGAGACAAAAAAAAAAAAAAATTAATTAAATTTTTAAAAATGGGAGGGCTTTTACTGCTCTTAAACTTTTGACTAATAAGTTAGATTAGAGTTGTAGCTGTGTTCAAGGCAATATTTTTTTCTTTTATCTCACTCTCCGGTCATGGCTGATACGGTGGTAATTATTGGTGGTTACGGTGTTCGATTCGCAGGTCGTTGATTCGAATCCCCGTTACCAGACCAATTTACTTGGGAGTATCCTTTAATTAATAAATAATAATCCGATTAACAAGGATGCTGTTTAAATGATATTTCTCAGCGAAAGAATTTAAACAATCACATATCTAATAAATATGACGTAATAGGTAGTTTTTGTTATTCATTTATTGAACAATTTTGGCCCCTGTACCTAAGTTTATTATAGTAGTTTATATACGCCTCACAATGCTGATGTTACATCTTTTTGTTTGTTTGTTTTTGAATTTGGTCCCAAGCTACTTGAGAGTTATCTATGCTAGCATTTCCTAATTTTAAAAAATTAAATTAGAAAAAAGACAACTACTCGATACTATCCACCGCCAACTCTTGGGTTACTATTTACCAACGAATGATGGAAGTGATTGACACATTATAACGCCCCCACGGCTGAAAGGGCGAGCACGTTCAATGACGAGATTTCAACCCGCAAATTGCGAGTCGAATGCCCTACCCTCCAGGCCATTAAATCTTTAATTTTAAAGAGCACAGTTGCGTACGTTATATTAAAAACATTTTGAACAAGTAAATCAGCAAGTCACGTGACAACCACAATCGATATTAATTCGTAGTGAAATTGGAGTGTATTATAACTTAATTTTGACATTGTTTGGCGTTCGTAGGTAGTGCGAGGCCATCACAAATTGATTGCTTTTGGGAAGGGCATGTAATGGTCTTTTCCGATGCAAAACATTTATACACTTAGATTATAAAAATGAGCTGAGATGAAGGACTTATAATTTCCAAGATGAGGATATTTCTTGTACTTAATTGCATTGGAAAACAATGAAATATGGGTCAACTTGAGTATCAGGACCATCCAGAAAGAGACCTACAACAAGTCATACCTCAGCCGTAGTAAGCAAAGTGTGGCTACTTGTAACAGGTGAGAATCTTCTAACATTAAGGTCAGTGGCACAAGCTGTACACATGCTACAGGCAACAGTATGCAACATAATCAAAAAGGATCGTCGTCTGTAAACGAGGAGGGCAACATGGTATTGGTTCACTATGATAAAGCTTCCAGTCACACCACTTGTCCAGTCATTGCATATCTCAAGCTACTGGAAAATGGAGTTATTCGTGTTATTTCGCAGGAAGACATAACGGTCAAGTTGCTACATCTGGATGCAGCACCTATGGACTTCTGTTGGTTGGATTGTTGAAACAGGCCTTGCAAAACAGTCATCCTCATAAAATAGATGAATTATGAAAACCAGGGTGAGGGGAGCAATGTGCTTTGGACATGACAGCCTTACATTGGAGGCTTTGCTTCGGGGTTATTGTCACGATGCACAGTCTTCAGATAGATCATGACATGGAGATGCTCTAAAATCGCTTTAATATAACATACTCAACCCTATTTAATAATTAAATAACATCATCATCATCTGCCACACTTTAAATAATCTGGTAGAATTATATAGAATATTGAAAGAAAAATATTCACCTTGTAATAGAAAAGTAGAATCACAAATTACAGTAATTTTTTGTATTAATTAACATGCCTCATTGACTGTTAAATGTACAGTAATACCCCTTTTAAACCCAGGAAGGGGCTTCTGAAATAGAGCTCTAAACGAATCAGCTCTAAATAGGATCATTTGAACATTACATATATGGAGATATGTAACTGAAGGCATTGTTTCTTACCTGTGAATGATGTATAAGTGCTTTATTTAGGTACTGGTAAATTTACCGTAAATTACTCACTATAATATCATCATTGCTGGAAAAAAAATAAATTTTCATTAGCCATCTATCTAGTTACTAAGCTATCAAATAGAAAATTAGCCTCCTCCTGCCATGCCCACCTGTCACATCCTCTCTTTCAAGATTTGTCAAGACTCTCTCGTGAAAGAAGCCCCCCAGTGGCACAGCAGTATGTCTGCAGACTTACAATGCTAGAAACTGGGTTTCGATAACCCATGGTGGGCAGAGCACAGATAGCCCATTGTGTAACTTTGTGCTTAACTTCAAACAAACAAACACGTGAAAAAGAAATTCTCTCCAGGAGACAAGAGCTCTAAAACAAATCAGCTTAAAGTTGGGTCTTACTGTATTTCTTTTTGTGCCAAATATTAAAATCCAATTGATGTAGCAGATTTCCCATAACAATTGAAAAATCAAGTAGCATGAAAGTTTAACAATTTCTAATGCCTTAGAAATTTAACGTATCCATTGCTGTTCATTTTTTCTGAATTTCCTCACACAAAAGTTTCTTCAAACATCTTCAAATTTTGCAGTTAAAATTTACATAAACCTTTTACAATTCAGCTTTGATGTTTTTTCTTTGGAATAAATTTCATAATCTTCATTCCTGTAATTTGTAAATCTTAGTACCCTCTATTCCCGTTTAATGTAAATGGTTTTTCATAAATGTATTATTGTAAGCTATGTGTTTTTAATTTGTTAATAATTTAATTTTTCTATTGATCCATTTATGAATGGACTTCCAGTTGAAAATTATTTTATTATGTAATACAATTATTTTCAGTTAGTTCAATTAAATTAACAAACTTGATAAAGAACAGATATTTTGATATAAAAATAAATACTTGAATCATATAACTAGAACATTTATAATTCTGTTATTCAGTAACACATCAAATCAATGTTTTATGTATAATTTTTAAACATAACTTTTTTCAATAAGAGAATTACGGCTTATTCTTTGATTGACATATATCAGTTTGGAGTGTTTTGATTAAATAGCCATGAATTTTTTTTTTGATCAATTGCACCATTAGTCTAAATCTAATATGCTTGTACCCGATACCTGTTATATACAAGTAATTTCTTACATCCAAACCTGAAAACAACAATTAAAACTACCTACAGGTACTGGAGATGGGGGGATGATTTTGCAATTACTTTATTTTATACTATATAGTTTGTAAAGAATCAATTAGTTTAAGTACATCTTTATATCAATGTGCCAACACACACAAAAACAAAAAACAGGGGTTCAAGTTCGATGACGAGGAACTCACTTTGAGACTAATAATGGCTGGAGACGGCTTGAATGGGTAATGAAGAAAAACTTTAATATAAGTTTAACATAACAGCAAATGTACGATGTTTCGACAAGGTTTTGTCAGCCTGATGATGACAAAA